CCATCTTAAATGGATATCCGGTTTCTTTACTGACGTGTCGGGTGTTTCTTCATTCATCATCAGAATCTAAAATATATTACAGTAAAAGTATGGCACGAATTTAAAAAAATATTGTAAATTCTGTCTGCATCATGAGTGACCTAAGATAATTTAATCCATGTGGTTTACAACAGACTTAAAATATCTTTGTAGACAGCTCACATATTTTAAAGATTATGCTTGAAATTTCAGAACCAAACTGAGTAATTCAGGTACATAAAAAAACTCAAACAGGAATGATATACAAGTAGTAGAAAACAAAACAATAAAGGTTAAATTCCAGTTAGAATTTAAATGTGAAATAACTACCAAATTATAGCAATCCAAATTCTAAAATATATTGCAGAGTAACAATAAAATTATACTCCCACAGCTTACACCTGAACTTAATATATTTCAAATGAGATTACCTAAAACATATAATTTCGGAACCTAATTAAATCTTTTAATGAATAAAGTAATCAGAGAGTAATGTTATGTAAATTGCTTAATAATACAAACCAAATGCAGTCTTTAATATTATACTGACAAAAATTAAGATTTAAAAAAAAAAACTTTTCATAAAGTCATTCTTCATTTTACATTTAGTAATTTATACAGGAGATTACAGGAGAAGGGGTTACTAGCCTCTTGTTCCTTGTATTTTAGTCGCCTCTTACGACACCCATGAGGACTGTCGAGGCGATTTTCACCACAGTATTTCTGTTCCACCTGCTACTCTGCGATCTTTGGGAGAGGCTGGTGTGCTTGAAAAATGTACAAGGATATCCCATGCCTCTGCTACTTCGATAAATTTGGGTAATGAACTACTATGGAATATTTCACGCGCTCTGGAGCTATTTCCCTTGTTACTTTGCGTGATGCAGTACACGAAGATAGGACCGCAGGTAATGTGGTATTGCTTGCGAATTCCTGTTTTCCCCTAGTCTTACTGGAACTGTTGCTTGATCCCATTGACGATCTTCCGGTTCCAAATTTCATATTTTCCAGAATATTATTTCCCGAGGTTATTCGTATTCTCTTTATTTTCGGTTGTCTAGGAAGGTGCTTACCTCGAAAAATAAATTAGCATGAGCTGAGTTAAGCTGCTTGTAAAAAAAAAATTCAAGGCATCGTGGGCATCCAAATCCCCAATTCTCTCCTCCTTCTTCTTCTGATTATTAATTTTTCTTCTGTGCTAACAGACCGAGGACCCACAGGTACTCCCATTAGGGTACTGTCAGTGTGGTGGGGTGGTTGAGGCTTCTGGTAAGGTGGATCTATATAATAATGATTATCTGCAAGCAGCTGAAATAAAAAATAGAAAAATACTAGGCAAGATGCTCTCCAATGGCTCCCAAAACCATGTTTCTTTGAAGTCTAGTTTTACTGCAGTCTTATTAACTTCGGGTAAGTCTTCGATGTAAGCCCGAGCTGCATGAGCTGCCGCTTCACTACCTTGAGAGATCCCAAAGTCACGGTGCTCTGCTCGAAGCAACTTTCACCTTCACCTTCCCTTCACCTCCCCTTCACTCTCTTTGTATTACGCTTCCCGGTGGTTGACCTGCTCTTCCCTCGTGTTCTCCTCATAAACACTAATATAACATTGATACAACATTCGATTGCAAACGCTATGACTCTTATCTTTAAGTTGTCTGTCACTTTAACCTCCATGTATAAAGCTAATGTGAAGACTTTATCTTGATATCCTGCGCCGCAAATCTATCTATCCATTTATCTGTCCATGCACATAATACCCAAACATAGGAAAGAGGAGCTTACGACGACGTTTCGGTCTGACTTGGACCGTTTACAAAGTCATACTCTGATTTTGTAAAGTCAAGAATAATTCAAAGAGTTTTCGTAATAATAATAATAATAATAATAATAATAATAATAATAATAATAATAATAATAATAATAATAATAATAATAATAATAACGAAAGAAGAGTGAATATAATAGGTATCGTAATTCTTCAGCAAACACTTGTACAACGGGTAATTCATTCTCTCTCTCTCTCTCTCTCTCTCTCTCTCTCTCTCCTCTCTCTCTCTCTCTCTCTCTCTCCTTTCCCCACTCTCTCGCAACAGAAAATTTCCTGCCAACCTCATGTACACTAAACTTATATTATTTACCCAGATTTCAATCTCAAAGGTTTTCCCAGCACTCTCTGATTGTTATGTCTGGTAATCTGCATAATAATTAAGCCATTAACATTCGTCCTAGATCGTCAATTTATACAGTGAACATGCACGCAGCTGAGAGTACTGTTTTTTTTTTTTCTCCTTCCTGTCTCTCCAGCCGCCCAAAGAATTCACGTTCGCCATTATCCGATTCTTTGCGAATGTGATCACGGTGCACAGAGACCGAACCACGATTGGCGGAAGTAGGTTCGAGCCTTCATCATTCCGTGCGCTGAATGACCTCCACGAGTTTAGAGAATTACTTGAATAATAATAAAGCTAATAATAATAACACAAAGTGAAGAAGAACAAGAAGAGGAAGAACAATAATAAACATAAAAAGAAGAATTGGCAATTGTTATCCATTAATGTCACATCAAGTAACATAACAGAGGTGTTTGATGTACGTTGTTATCAGAGAGAAAGAAAACAACGATGCATGTCAAAGATTATGATGATAAAAAAGGAGAGACTAATATGCATGTAAACAGGAGAGAGAAGAGACGGAAGAAGAGAACGAGGGACAGCAATTCTTACAAAAAAAATGGAAAGAAGTGATATTATGAGAAGTGAATGCAAGAACTACAGTGAAAGAGTCAAGAGAGGAGAAAATGTGAGTCCTTAGATACTGGTGTATATTTTGTATGCTAGTGCAATGCCTGCAGCGAACCTCCAATTGAGTTGCAATCCACAGCCATCTAGTCTGAGGGAAGTTGGTAATCCACGGAATCCTGTTAATCCAAGGTTGTAATACCTATGATGTTGTAATCCCCTGGTGCGTGCTTAACCCTGGGCTCGTAACCCGAGATTTTACTTTTTAAACATTGAGGTTTGCAATCCATGAGGTTTGCAATCCCTGTGGTTCGCAATCACCGAGGTTTGTAATCCCTGTGGTTTGTAATCCACGAGGTTGGTAATCCTTATGGTTTGTAATCCATATGGCTTGTAATCCATGTGGTTTGTAATCCCTGTGGTTTGTAATCCCTGTGGTTTGTAATCCCTGTGGTTTGTAATCCTTATGGTTTGTAATCCCTGTGTCTTGTAATCCATGTGGTTTGTAATCCATGTGGTTTGTAATCCCTGTGGTTTGTAATCCATGTGGTTTGTAATCCTTGTGGTTTGTAATCCTTGTGGTTTGTAATCCCTGTGGTTTGTAATCCCTGTGGTTTGTAATCCCTGTGGTTTGTAATCCATGTGGTTTGTAATCCATGTGGTTTATAATCCATGAGGTTTGTAATCCCTGTAATTTGTAATCCATGATGTTCGTAACGCTTAAGATTCTTAATCCCTGAAGATCGTAATCCCTGACGTTGTAATCGCTCTGTATTCCTCTGAAGAAGCCTGCTGCGCAGGCGAAACTTTTCGACAATAAATTTACCTAAAAGTTGTACACATGACCTACTCATCACGGTGTCGATACTGCATATCATTATTATAATTACAGACGCTGGTAAACCCAGAAGACGTCAGAGTAATATTTTGGTTACAGACTCCCCTCAAGGGAGGTTCCTTGATGCTGGTGAGGGGCTTTTGATCTAGGGAATTGGATCTGTGCTCCGGTTCCTCCCCCCCCACAGGCGCTGTATAATCCCTACGGGTTTAGCGCTCCCCCATGATAAAAATAATAATAACTGGTTACAGACACCCTGCAACTCAATGCCGATGCATCACCTGCAGCCAAGTCAGTAGAGGCCAGGTATTGCCATGTATCTCAAAATATCACTTCACCTATTATCAGGGGTCGCAGCCATCACCTGGATGGTCACGGGGACCTGTGTCCCGTTTCAGACTTTGTCAGAGAGCGTGATAAAGCAGTGGAAGGGGAAGAGAGTGAATATATTTGATCCTGTCTAGGACTGATCACACACATGGACAGGACCGGATTAAGGCATGTTAGGGGCTGTGGCCCAGAGGCCTCCGCCAGCTGAAAGGCCTCCAGAGATTAAGTAAAAGGTGTTCACTGTTACTGCTGTAAGCTCTGCAGCTTAAAGCAGTAACTGTTATTATATCCCGTATATCATGAACTGTTTACTGTTGTGATTAATTATTTTTAGTCTTGAAAATATGACTGGGGGGCCCACAGTACGTGTAGCCCAGGGCCTACAAAATCTTAATCCTACTCTGCACACACACGATGGAAACACACACTCCCACATCTCGCTAGTGAAGGAGCACCATGAACGTTTTTCACTTTTCACTGCTGATCTGTGGCAGTTAGAGAGGAGCGTTCATGTTCCACAGTGAGCCAGCCTGTGAGTTTACAAAATACTTAGTGATCAAAAATGAGTGAGATGACTTCATAACCTAGGATCATCACAACACAGGAACATCACAACCCAGGAACACCACAATCCAGGAACATCACAATCCAGTAACATCATAACCCAGGAACATCACAACCCAGGAACATCGCAACCCAGGAACATCACAGCCCAGGAACATCGCAGCCTAGGAACATCACAACCCAGGAACATCGCAACCCAGGAACACACCACATCACAACCCAGGAACATCACAACCCAGGAACATCACAACCCAGGAACATAACAATCCAGGAACATCACAATCCAGTAACATCATAACCCAGGAACATCACAACCCAGGATCATCACAACCCAGGATCATCACAACCCAGGAACATCACAACCCAGGATCATCACAACCCAGGATCATCACAACCCAGGAACATCACAACCCAGGATCATCACAACCCAGGATCATCACAACCCAGAAACATCACAACCCAGGAACATCACAATCCATGAACATCACAACCCAGGAACATCACAACTAAAGGACATCACAACCGAGGAACATCACAACCCAGGAACATCGCAGCCCAGGAACATCACAACACAGGAACATCACAACCCAGGAACATCGCAGCCCAGGAACATCACAACCACAGAACATCACAACCCAAGAACATCACAACCCAGGAACATCGCAGCCCAGAACATCACAACCAGGAACATCGCAGCCCAGGAACATCACAACCCAGGAACATCACAACCCAGGAACATCACAACCCAGGAACATCACAACCCAGGAACATCGCAGCCCAGGAACATCACAACCCAGGAACATCACAACCCAGGAACATCACAACCCAGGAACATCGCAGCCCAGGAACATCACAACCCAGGAAATCCATCCAGCATGCACCAGGAACATCACAGACCCAGGAACATCACAACCCAGAAACATCGCAGCCCAAGGAACATCACAACCCAGGAACATCCCCCAGGAACATCACAACCAGGAACATCGCAGCCCAGGAACATCACAACCCAGGAACATCGCAGCCCAGGAACATCACAACCCAGGAACATCGAAGCCCAGGAACATCACAACCCAGGAACATCGCACCCAGGAGCATCACAACCCAGAAAACATCACCAGAATCACAACCAGGAACATCACAATCCAGGAACATCACAACCCAGGAACATCACAACAAGGACATCACAACCAGAACATCACCGACAGTCCCAGAACATCACAACCCAGGAACATCACAGCCCAGGAACATCACAACCAGAACATCACCCAGGAACATCACAACCAGGAACATCCACCAACCCAGGAACATCGCAGCCCAGGAACATCACAACCCAGGAACATCGCAACCCAGGACACCATCACAAGACCCAGGAACATCGCAGCCCAGGAACATCACAACCCAGGAACATCGCAGCCCAGGAACATCACAACCCAGGAACATCGCAGCCCAGGAACATCACAACCCAGGAACATCGCAGCCCAGGAACATCACAGAATCCACAGGAACATCGCAGCCCAGGAACATCACAACCCAGGAACATCCAGCCCAGGAACATCACAACCCAGGAACATCACAACCCAGGAACATCACAACCCATGAACATCACAACCCAGGAACATCACAACCCAGGAACATCACAACCCAGGAACATCACAACCCAGGAACATCACAATCCACTGACATCACAACCAGGAACATCGCAGCCCAGGAACATCACAACCCAGGAACATCGCAGCCCAAGAACATCACAACCCAGACATACATCCAGGAACATCACAACCAGGAACATCACAACCCAGAAACATCGCAGCCCAGGAACATCCCAACCCAGAAACATCAGCAGCCCAGGAACATCACAACCAGGACTACCCAGGAACATCGCAGCCCAGGAACATCACAACCCAGAAACATCGCAGCCCAGGAACATCACAACCCAGGAACATCGTAGCCCAGGAACATCACAACCCAGGAACATCGCAGCCCAGGAACATCACAACCCAGGAACATCGCAGCCCAGAACATCACAACCCAGGAACATCGCCAGCCCAGGAACATCACAACCCAGAGAACATCACCAGCATCACCAGAATGAACAATCACACAACCCAGGAACATCGCAGCCCAGGAACATCACAACCCAGAACATCGCAGACCCAGGAACATCACAACCCAGGAACATCAGCAGTGCCGACATCGACAGACACAATCCAGAACATCACAACCCAGGAACATCGCAGCCAGGAACATCAAACCAGAACACATCACATAAACCCAGAGAACATCAAAACAAAAGGATCATCACAACCCAGGAACATCGCAGCCCAGGAACATCACAACCCAGGAACATCGCAGCCCAGGAACATCACAACCCAGGAACATCGCAGCCCAGGAACATCACAACCCAGGAACATCGAGCAGGACATCACAACCCAGGAACCATCGCAGACACCACCAGAACATCACAACCCAGGAACATCGCATAGCCCAGGAACATCACAACCCAGGAACATCGCAGCCCAGGAACATACCAAAATCCCAGGAACATCGCAGCCCAAGGAACATCACAACCCAGGAAACATCCAGCCCAGAAACATCACAACCCAGGAACATCGCAGCCCAGGAACATCACAACCCAGGAACATCCGCCCAGGAACATCACAACCCAGGAACATCCAGCCCAGGAACATCACAACCCAGAACATCACAACAACCAGGAACATCGACAAACCCAGGAACATCGCAACCCAGAACATCACAACCCAGAACATCACAACCCAGAACATCACAACCCAGGAACATCGCACCCAGGAACATCACAACCCAGGAACATCGCAGCCCAGGAACATCACAACCCAGGAACATCGCAACAAAGGATCATCACAACCCAGGAACATCGCAGCCCAGGAACATCACAACCCAGAACATCGCAGCCAGGAACATCACAACCCAGGAACATCGCAGCCCAGGAACATCACAACCCAGGAAACATCACAACCCAGGAACATCGCACCCAGGAACATCACAACCCAGGAACATCGCACCCAGGAACATCCAACCCAGGAAACCACGCAGCGCCAGGAACATCACAACCCAGAACATCGCAGCCCAGGAATCACACAACACCAGGAACATCCAAGCCCAGAACATCACAACCCAGGAACATCCAGCCCAGGAACATCACAATCCCCAGAACATCGCAGCCCAGGAACATCACAACCCAGGAACATCCGACCCAGGAATCACAACCCAGGAACATCACCAATCCACCAGGAACATCGCAGCCCAGGAACATCACAACCCAGAAATCCAGCCAGGAACATCACAACCCAGAACATCACAACCCAGGAACATCGCAACCCAGGAACATCACAACTCCAGGAACATCGCAGCCCAGAACATCACAACCCAGGAACATCACAACCCAGGAACATCACAACCCAGAACATCAAAATCCACCAGACATCCAAATCCAGGAACATCACAACCCAGGAACATCGCAACCCGGAACATCACAACCCAGAAACATCACAACCCAGAAACATCACAACAAAGGACATCAAATCCAGGAACATCCACCCAGGAAACATCGCAGCCAGGAACATCACAACCCAGAACATCCAACCCAGGAACATCACAACCCAGGAACATCGAGCCAGACATCACAACCAGGAACATCGCAAGCCCAGGAACATCACAACTCCAGGAAACATCGCAGCCCAGAACATCACAACTCAGAAACATCGCAGCCAAGGAACATCAGCAACCCAGGAACATCGCAGCCCAGGAACATCACAACCCAGGAACATCGTAGCCCAGGAACATCACAACCCAGGAACATCGCAGCCAAGGAACATCACAACCCAGGAACATCGCAGCCCAGGAACATCACAACCCAGAACATCGCAGCCCAGAACACAAACCAGGAACATCGCGCCAGAACATCGCAACCCAGGAACATCGCAGCCCAGGAACATCACAACCCAGGAACATCGCAGCCCAGGAATATCACAACCCAGGAACATCGCAGCCCAGGAACATCACAACCCAGGAACATCGCAACAAAGGATCATCACAACCCAGGAACATCGCAGCCCAGGAACATCACAACCCAGGAACATCGCAGCCCAGGAACATCACAACCCAAGAACATCGTAGCCCAGGAACATCACAACCCAGGAACATCACAACCCAGGAACATCGCAGCCCAGGAGCATCACAACCCAGGAACATCGCAGCCCAGGAACATCACAACCCAGGAACATCGCAGCCCAGGAACATCACAACCCATGAACATCGCTGCCCAGGAATATCACAACCCAGGAACATCGCAGCCCAGAAACATCACAACCCAGGAACATCGCAGCCCAGGAACATCACAACCCAGGAACATCGCTGCCCAGGAACATCACAACCCAGGAACATCTCAGCCCAGGAACATCACAACCCAGTAACATCACAACCCAGGAACATCGCAGCCCATGAACATCACAACCCAGTAACATCACAACCCAGGAACATCACAACCCAGTAACATCACAACCCAGGAACATCGCAACCCAGGAACATCACAACTCAGGAACATCGCAGCCCAGGAACATCACAACCCAGGAACATCACAACCCAGGAACATCACAACCTAGGAACATCAAAATCCACTGACATCACAATCCAGGAACATCACAACCCAGGAACATCGCAACCCGGGAACATCACAACCCAGAAACATCACAACCCAGAAACATCACAACAAAGGATCATCATAATCCAGGAACATCGCAACCCAGGAACATCGCAGCCCAGGAACATCACAACCCAGAAACATCACAACCCAGGATCATCACAACCCTCGGAACATCGTTGCCCAGGAACATCACAACCCAGGAACATCGCAGCCCAGGAACATCACAACCCAGGAACATCGTAGCCCAGGAACATCACAACTCAGGAACATCGCAGCCAAGTAACATCGCAACCCAGGAACATCGCAGCCCAGGAACATCACAACCCAGAAACATCGCAGCCCAGGAACATCACAACCCAGGAACATCATAGCCCATGAACATCACAACCCAGGAACATCGCAGCCCAGGAACATCAACCCAAACACCAGGAACATCGCGCCCAGAAACCCCCAAACATCGCAACCCAGGAACATCGCAGCCAAGGAACATCACAACCCAGGAACATCGCAGCCCAGGAATATCACAACCCAGGAACATCGCAGTCCAGGAACATCACAGCCCAGGAACATCGCAGCCCAGGAACATCACAACCCAGGAACATCGCAGCCCAGGAACATCACAACCCAGGAACATCGCAGCCCAGGAACATCACAACCCAGGAACATCGCAGCCCAGGTACACGGTAAATCCGGAATACCGAAACCCCAAAGGACCGAGCCTCAAATGACCCTTCTTGCAGCGCCTCAACATCCAATCTCAGACTGCCTCCAGAAGCCATTTACCTTTAATTCAATTTGTATTTTGTCTCTCGGGGCTAATATTAATTTGTGTTTGAAATTCCTGTTGTAATTTGAAGGTCGATAGTGACATGGTGGTATTGTGGTGAGGAACAGACCTGTGGGGATACAAGAGTTGCCAACTGCATGTGTTCACTATTCCAACTGCTGTCAGCATTGGTATACCTGCCATCCTTCTAATTGCTGTATTTATCGGTACAGCTGTCATCCTTCCAACTGCTGTCATCATCGGTACAGCTGTCACCCAACTGCTGTCATCATCGTTACAGCTGTCACCCTTCCAACTGCTGTCACCATCGGTACAGCTGTCACCTTCCAACTGTTGTCACCATCGGTACAGCTGTCATCCTTCCAACTGTTGTCACCATCGGTACAGCTGTCACCCAACTGCTGTCATCATCGGTACAGCTGTCACCCTTCCAACTGCTGTCACCATCGGCATAGCTGCCACCCTTCCAACTGCTCTCACCCTTCCAATTGCTGTCACCATTGGTACAGCTGTCACCCTTCCAGCTGCTCTCGCCCTTCCAATTGCTGTCACCATTGGTACAGCTGTCACCCTTCCAACTGCTATCACCATTGGTACAGTTGTCACCTTTCCAATTGCTGTCACCATTGGTACAGCTGTCACCCTTCCAACTGCTGTCACCATCGTTACAGCTGTCACCCTTAAAACTGCTCTCACCCTTCCAACTGATGTAACCATTGGTACAGCTGTCAGTCACCCTTCCAACTGCTCTCACCCTTCCAATTGGTGTCACCAGTGGTACAGGTGTCATCCTTCCAACTGCTGTCACCATCGGTACAGCTGTCACCCTTAAAACTGCTCTCACCCTTCCAACTGATGTAACCATTGGTACAGCTGTCAGTCACCCTTCCAACTGCTCTCACCCTTCCAATTGGTGTCACCAGTGGTACAGGTGTCATCCTTCCAACTGCTGTCACCATCGGTATGGATAGCACCCCTCCAACTGCTGCCCGTTTCCTACCTGGAGGGTGTTCAGGGGCCAACGCCCCCGCGGCCCTGTCCTTCACCAAGCCTCCTGGTGGATCAGGGCCTGATCAACCAGGCTGTTACTGCTGGCCACACGTAGCCCAAAGTTCGAATTACAGCCCGGCTGGTCAGTTATTGACTCTAGGTATCTGTCAGGCTTCCTCTTGAAGGTACCAGGTGTCTATTGTTAATTCCCCTTAAGCCTGATGGGAGGCTGTTGAACAGTCTTGGGCCCCGGACGCTATTTTGTTTTCTCTTAGTGTATCATTGGCGTCCCTACTTTTCATTGGGGGTATGTGCACGGTCTGCACAGTATTTTGCTTTCGTAGGGAGTGATTTTTGTATGCAGATTTGGGACCAGTTCCTATAGGATTTTCCAGGTGTAGGTTATGATGTATCTTTCTCGCCTGCGCTCCAGTGAGTACAAGTCAAGAGCTTCCAAGCGTTCCCAGTAGTTAAGGTGTTTAACGGAACA